TCAAAATTACAGTCCTCTAGCTTCTCAGGTCCCCGAGTTATGAACTTACCCGAAAAAAAACTTTGGTGGGCTTGTACGCGTGAATCACGCTTACCCGGGGATTAGGTTTGACCTCACTAATACCCACTTGAAAGGGGATCATCCCCCTAAGATTTCATCTTTCTAGCTTCTCAAATCCCCGGGTTATGAACTTACCCATGAAAGACTTTGGCGGGCCCGCATGCGGGTACCACGCGGTAGTGGCGCCCATTTTTGAGATTAGGGCCCGCACGTGCATGTGGGTTAAGTTCCCAAAGTTTCAGCCCTGTAACTTTTGTAGGTCTTGAGATGAAAAACCGTGATAGGTGCACACACAGACACACAGGCACACGCACACGCACACACACACGCACACACACACACACACACACACACACACACACAACCCCTCATCAATATGCGTTTTCTGCATTGCATAGCTGCAAACAACGCATAAAAACGCGTGTTGTTACGACCGCGGTATGTGTGTGTATGTATGTGTATGCGTCTGTCCGGGTATTTCAACTCAGCAACCAAGCAAGCTCCGGCGCCAAAATTCTGCCACTAGGTTCTCTGGCCAAGTGTCATCCCAGGACCGAGGTACCAACCCTCATGTGCGTCTAGGCCAGCGTACGAACGCGTGAAAGTTTTGGCGGAAAAATTGCTAACTCGGGAAGCAGGAAAGCCAGAAAGCTGAAATTTTGCGGTTATGTTCCCCGTTCACATAGAACTCTAAGATTTCAAATTCAGCCCCCAGACATGCGTGGTTCTTACGTAGGGCCCGTGAAAGTTTTTGGCGTGAAAACCGCTAACTCGGGAACCAAGGAAACGGGGAGGGTGGAATTTTAAGTAGATGTTCCCAGCCCATGAACAAATTAAGGTTATAAAAATCGGCTTCTTCGTGTGCGTGGTCCTTACTTAGAGCCCCGTGAAAGTTTTTGGCGAGAAAATTTCTAACTCAAGGACCAGAAAAACAGAAAGCTGAAATTTTGAGGGGATGTTCCTTGACCAAGCACCATGCGGTTGCACAATTAATTTTCTAAACTTCCAGGACCAGTATGCTATAAATTCTAGCTACTGGGCTCAAAGCGATCTTACAACGGCACGAAATACTGTAAAAACGCACGATCGCACGGGCCTGCCCGGTGCGCGATTTATTATTTGTTATTTTTATGCGTTTTCACCTACGTCGTAACGAACTCGGTGTGCGTGTGTGTGTCTGTCCGGGTGTCTCAACCCGGCAATCTAGCAAGCACCGGCGCTAACATTTTGCCAGTGGGTCCCTCATCCAAGTGCCACTCCGGCTGCGGTACCATCCTTCAAATACGTCTGGCCCCGCATGCGCGCACGCGAAAGTTTTAGCGGAAAAATCGCTAAGTCTGGAGCCAGAAAAGCTGGAAGCCTGGGATTTTAAGGGCATATTCTTGGCCCACGTGCGACTTAAAGATTTCAAATTCACCTGCCAGGTGTGCGTGGTCCTTACACACGGCTCCGTGAAACTTTCTAGCAGGAAACTTGCCAACTCGGGGACTAGAAAAGCTGGAAATCTGAAATTTTAACGGAATGTTCCCTCCATATCATATGCAGTTTACCTGCGTTATTAAGAAAAATAGTGTTGCGCTAGGGATTGGTGCTTAAATAAGCTTATGCACGATCTCGTCCATGAAATGTTTAATGTGAGGCTTATAACTTCACATAGCAACTGAGCCAAAACCGCACGTCATGAGCGTAAAAAGTGAGGGATTTTACATTTCTTGACCTGCATACGGCTTTCGACTGAACTCTCAAAATTTCGACTCTTCTGCTTGTCCTGTTGAGCAAGCAAACACATAACACAGGGGGTCTCGTCTGCATCGGTGTTTACGTGTTTTTCCAGCACGGATGCACAGTAAAAACGCATTAAGATGAAATCATGTGTATTAATGCATGTAATTATGTGTGTGTGTGCGTGTGTGTGTGTATGTGTGTGCGTGCGTGCGTGTGTGTGTGTGTGTGTGACCACATGTTTCGGCTCCAGAACTGCAAAAGTTGGGAAGCTGAAATTTAATGAGCAAAGTTACTAACTATGCACGAGATATCTAGCCTGAAATCATCGTCAGGTCACTGGTACGTTCTGATCGGAACCAAAAGAGTCACAAGTCTGAAGTTTGATGAACGATGTTCAGAC